GCATCCAAAGAAGCGTGGCCAGCAGGTCAAAGGCTTCCTGAAGCTTTACTCAGACCTCAGGAGTCCACTTGCATGGATTCAAACTTGTGCATAAGACCCAGCATGGTCAATACTGCAATATTACTAGATCACGTCAGCTATCTGCTGTTCTCAATAGCTCGCAACCCTAAACAGAGCTGTCCTGGAAGCATAAAAACATTTAAACAGAGAAGTGGCTTTCATTTGTCAACATCCTAAAGAAGAAGAAAGAGGGCTTACAAGAAAGCTGGAGAAGGACTTTTTACATGGGCATGTAATGCTAGGACAAGGGGCAATGGCTTTAAACTGAAAGAAGGTAGATTTCAATTACATCTAAGGAAGAAATTCTTCACTCCGATGATGGTGAGGCACTGGACCAAGTTGCTCAGAGAAGGTGTGGATGCCCCACCCCTCAAAGAGTTCAAGGTCAGGTTGGATGAGGCTTCAAGCAACCTGGTCTAGTGGAAGGAGGGTTGTAACTAGATGACCCTTAATGGTCCCTTCCAACCCAAACCATTCTATGATTCTATGATTCTATGATTCTATGGTTGGATGCCACAACTGTGTGTTGCTGCTTGTGTCTTTGCTTCCTGGTCACTTACATCTTCCAATACTAAATCACTTGCAGAATGTAAACTGCAGAATGAAAATATTACAAATTGAATCCATTTTCTACCTCATACTCTTAAGAGGCCAGAAACTCGAAATGTGTGAAATAGAGCACTCTTCATAAGTAAAATGCAATTTTAAATCCCACTGAAGGTGTGCAGAAAACAATGGTAGAGCACATGGACTTCAATATTGCTCAGCATATATAGGGTTAACAGTATTGACTCTTTATAGGCTTTCCTATCAGTGCATTGCTAAGGTTTGTGGCAGAAAAAAAAATGCCTGCATACTGTGCTGCCAAAATGTTATACTTCATATTTGCAAAAACACCTGTTAAATATCTCATGGCATGATACATCTCATGCTCTGATACAATGCTTAAAAACATACTTCAGAAAACACTGACTCCCAGTTTTTCAGGTGCTCATTTGTAAAAACATTTGTATAGCAAAGATCTTTCAATTGGCTTAACCAGAAGGCATTAGGGTAAAGAAAGGAAAAGGGCAAATGGAGAAGAGAGGTCGTTATAGAGAAGAGCACAAATGTGAGCTAAGAAATATAAAAAAAAAAAACAGGCTGTTTGTGCAAACTACTGCATTTTATTTCAATGTAGCACTGTTGTTTTGATCTGAGATCCTGATATGCTCACCATTTGAGTGATAAGGCACCAATTAACTGGCTAATGTCAAACTAAACTTTTTCACAGCAAGAGTATGTGCCTGGGTGAATTCTCTTATCAAACTCATTAGTTTGAGTTTATAGGAACAGAGCTAGAAAAAGTTACTACATCTTGTCTATCCATTGTGGTAGGTTTAACACATGCCTAGAGAAATATAATAGATACTGTAGTAAAGGCTTCCTGAAGCTTTACTCAGACCTCAGGAGTCCACTTGCATGGATTCAAACTTGTGCATAAGACCCAGCATGGTCAATACTGCAATATTACTAGATCACGTCAGCTATCTGCTGTTCTCAATAGCTCGCAACCCTAAACAGAGCTGTCCTGGAAGCATAAAAACATTTAAACAGAGAAGTGGCTTTCATTTGTCAACATCCTAAAGAAGAAGAAAGAGGGCTTACAAGAAAGCTGGAGAAGGACTTTTTACATGGGCATGTAATGCTAGGACAAGGGGCAATGGCTTTAAACTGAAAGAAGGTAGATTTCAATTACATCTAAGGAAGAAATTCTTCACTCCGATGATGGTGAGGCACTGGACCAAGTTGCTCAGAGAAGGTGTGGATGCCCCACCCCTCAAAGAGTTCAAGGTCAGGTTGGATGAGGCTTCAAGCAACCTGGTCTAGTGGAAGGAGGGTTGTAACTAGATGACCCTTAATGGTCCCTTCCAACCCAAACCATTCTATGATTCCAAGAGTACACGTAGGTAGATTGCTCAATGGGAGGAAGTGGCAAAGGAGGGTACCTGAAGAATCAGCAAAGGAGTGCATAATACAGAAGCAACCACAGAGATATGGTCTCCCATTAACTTAGTTTATAGACCTAACTTAGACCTTATTAAATTTTCATAAAACCATGCACTCAGTTACTGTGCACTGCCAACTACATTGAATTCTAGCTGTAGCAGATAAACTCATAATATACCAGCCTCCCTGTGTTTAGGTAAGTCCTGTACTTTTATTGCTTATTTATTCCTTACCTGTATAAATATTTGAGTGGAGAGTTAAATCCAGGAGTTCTTTCTTTTGATCCCCATGCACTGAACAGAGGATATACAATGAGGTCATTATTATATTAAACAGAAAGCTACTTGGTGTTTAAGTAGTTCATCATTGGTGCTCTTCAAAGAACTGGCCATAAGCATAAGAACTGGGATTAGGAATGATATAACTCCTGCTGTAGCCACTAAATCATACTATTTAGATCTACTGCAGGCTTCCTAGCACAGCTCTTGTAAAGCAATTCATTTCTGACCTCAGACATTTCTTGGCTTTGGTTCACAAGTTTAGAGCCTATCTTGAACAGAGTTTAGAAAACACATTAATTTGTACCCTCTAGCCACACTAATATAGCTTCAAATTTCTGTAAATATTCATAGCCAGTTAAGGAAATGGATTATAAAGTCCTGAGTGAACCACAATTTAAAAATTACTCTGTCAAATATTTTAGGAAAGATATTTATTTGACCTTGGGCAAACGTGAGAGACGAGTAACTGCCGGCTATTTTTTTCATAGAATCAATACAGGTGGGGAACTACTCAGTGGATGCTTAACATAAATATTGTTAATTCAAAAAAGCAATGGGTTCCATATTAAAAGGAAGGGAAAATGTAAGGTTTTTTACAGGAATTTTTGACTTTTATAGGGTCATTCGAACAACTGGATACTTGCTGTTTGCCTTGCACATTAATGCATGCCTGTATTATTGGGCTTCAGACTATGAAGGAATTGGCAGCACTAGATGGGTGTACGACGGCAACGGAAACATGTAAGTCCTTTCCTCTTGCAAGAGATTTTTGTTGATTTTACTCCTTCCTGCATTCCCTGCCTTTTCCCATGTCTTTGCTTGCACGATATGCCGTTATTTTACAAGTGCTTGGATAGCAAACTTTTAGCACCATGACGGCAGATTAGCAGCTTTCATTACTCACGCATATTTGGAGGGCAGGTGCAGTGAATAATCAGTTTACCACTTTCAGCTTTTATAGGTTTATGAGTCAGTGCTAAGCACTAACTTAATTGAACATTTAGAAAGTAACAAGAGTCATAAATTAAACTTACTGATTGCATATGCACATGGGAACTGTTAGAAGGATTGCGGAACAATCCCTCAAAGGAATCAGAGGTACAGATTTTTTTCCTACCACACAGCATTGTGTCATTAAAATGCAACATTTTAGTCCCTCTAAACACCACAGTGATTGGTCTGAAAAAATTCCACTCACTTTCTTTGATCTTTTGAGAAGGTCATGCTTAAACACGTGGCAGATTGTCTCCAGTGGGAAGGACTGGATAATGGCACACTTTTCCACAAACTCCTTGTGACAGCACGAGGCTGGATGCCAAGTAAGGGACATTCATTAAGATGATGGAAAGAAAGCAAGAGAAGCAAAGTCAAAATACATTTTGTGTGTAGTTATACAAAAACATATCTAGTAGGTTTAGATGTATCAACTTTCAGTTCTTTTAAAGGCCATAATACAGTTAAAGCCACAGAAGCTCAATTTGTTCATTAACTACCTTCTTTGCAAAACTGCATATAATATACTACTGCTGTCATAAATCACCCTTTAAAGAATTCTTCATGTTTCTCTTGGAGACACGCTCCTTTTGCTTACAATTTTTTCAGGTTTCACGAGTTTGGTGTGAAGTCACTATCTTGAAGGATATGAAAATAGCCTTTGAGAGCAAAACGTGTTATGCAAAACAGCACTGATTTCTTATAATTAGGGTTCTCTCAAAAAAAAAAAAAAAAAGACACAGCTGAAGTTGCCACACACCACTAAAATACACAACTTGAGTACTGCAGTCAGACACATGCAAGCAGCCTCATGGAGCTCAGTGGGACCACTTATGTAAGTGAAGTTATATACAGGTATTTATTCACAGGATCAAGGCTTCCAGAAATCTGACAAGAAAAATGCAGAACAAATTTCCATTATAGCTATTTTTGTTAATGTCATTCTTGGGAATACTGGCCTCATAATTAAAAAATAAGGCAACTAAGACTGAGTAACCTGAAAACTCTGAAAGAAGAGTGTTTATTGAGTCTTCACGTTTTTAATGCTTCCTCAGAACAGCCCAGAGAGCAGGCAAGAAAGTCTTCCTGTTTTGCACAGACAATAATATTTTACATTTCACCCAGGGAAACAATTGGTAGAACTTATTTGCTCGCCTGATCACAGACAATGCAGTTGTGCCCAGAGGCAATGGTCAGCTTTCTTAATATTTTCTGATACCTTTTCCATGAGGAGACAAAAACACTTCTTCAATGATGTCATACTGAAATCACATGGGATTTAGGGCAGAATTTTTTATAAACAGTAATAATGACCTGATAATTCAAGGTCTGCATTAAACTGAGATGCTTAAATAAAAAGCATACATCCTGGTTTCAGCTGGGACAGAGTTAGCTCTTCTTTTTAGCAGCTAGAAGAGCTCCATGTTTTGGCTTTAGTCTGAGACTTACTCTGAGAAGAATGTTGACAGCGCACTGATGTTTATGTTGGCACTGAGGTCTCAAGGACTTTTCCAGCTGCCGTGTTCTAGCCGGTGTGCAGGAGCACAACAGGATAGGGCGGAGCACAGCCGGGACGGGGGGTCCATCCGTCTCCTTATGATTTGTACTTAGATTTAGGATTGAGGGCCAAATTGGCCAATTAGTATTCCATATCATGCAGCGTCATGCCCAGTATAAAAGTGAGGGACAGCCGGAAAGAAGGGCCTTTGCTCTTCCGGGACTCTCACTCTCGGACTCTCGGAGTGCTCTCTCTCTCTGTCTCGCTCTCTATTTTTGGGCCTCTCACTCGTCCAGGATTGCGGTGTCGGGACTTATCTGTTTCGGGATTGTTAGTCCAGGACAGGACAGGCCTCGGTCAAGGGGTGGTGAGCAATTGCACCGTGCATCACTCATTTGTATATATCTATCATTGTACATATCTGTATATATTCATATATTAGTAGCAGTAGTATTAAATTGTTCTTATCTCAACCCATGAGTCTCTTTTCCTTTTCTCCTTTAACTCCCTTCCTCATCTCTGGGGGGTGGGGGAGGGTGAGTGAGCAGCTGTGAGGAGTTTAGTTGCCGGAACGGTCTAAACCATGACAGCATATTAGAATATATTCATGTGAGATTCCTTAAGCCATTCCTTAAGCCATCTACCTCATCTTGACATTGGTTGGTGAATGTATGATTTTATTCTTTTGCCTGTATCTAACACATACTGGATTATATGGTCCCAGGTACATGGAACCCCAAAGAGTATCCCATGCTGAGCCGCATTTCATAAAGTATAGCTTGGTATCCTACTAACAGCAAATGCCTTCTGTATGGGATAATCATTGCCTTAGAGAAACAGGCATGACATATTATCTGATTGCTGAAGATTTGAGGATTTTTGACAGAGAGGCATTGTGTGAACATTAATTATTACTGGAGATGTAATATGAATTTAAACATATCAGACAAGATACTATATATAGTATCTTATAGTATCTTATTATAGGTATATTATATATATATATCTCTTATAGTATCTTATTATAGGTATATTCATTTCTTTGGAAAGCAGGAATTAAGAATAATCCAGGAAAAATCTATCAGAAAAAGTAACAAGAACTGCAGTATATATTATGGCACAGCAGTGCAGATGTAATTTCCCTTCACATAGCAGTCAGAGTTGCCAATGTTTGAAGCAAAATATGCCATTGGTCTCACATAGAATGGGAACACATTCAGAAAGAAGATAAGACAAACATAGCTTCTTAGCTAATTAAAAGAATGGCAGTAAGCAGTTTGATGGATAAACCAAATTTCTAGTGGTCTCAGATTACACTGACCCAAAGTAAATGATCTGGCACTGATTTAGTGGCATTAATATTTTATGTAGAATCCCCGCAGTGTCCAGAAAGTGTTGCTAGTTATGGTCAAAACCAGTCCTTAAAACTGTCAACACTACTAGGATCATTTTTTTTTCCTTTCCAGGCTAAAAAAGAATACACAGATAACAGTTTCCCGTATCAATTTGATTACATATATGTTCTTGAGCAGGCATACTAACCGGTGAACTTCAATTTATAACTAACAGCTGTAGATAGCACTCAAACCACAAGCAAAATTATCAAAGCAGCTCTTTTTGCAAATATCTGCTAGCTGTATTCTTTTCAAGTTCGTGTCCAGACTCCAAAGTGTTAGTGCCAGTCCAAGAAGATTTGAGGTGGTTTGCATGGCAGCCTTCAGTCAAAGCCTTTGACCTGAGGTGCAAAAGGCAGTCAACTATACCCCCCTGCAAAGCACCCAAATTAGCCACACGAGATGTTCCCAGCATTAAAACTGCACTCATGAGCTGGGTATAATTAGGCAGACAGACCTCAGTCTCTCCTAACACAGAAGATAGCATCCCTGATGCAACACCATCGTGTAGATCCTATGTAACCCCTGCAACAGGATATTGAAAAGATCTCTTAATTATAGCTAAATGAACAATTCGAACTATATTTGTTTATTTATACTCTAATTTAACTATCTAAGTGCGTGATCGGTCTCCCTAATTCCTCAGGAAAATGGATAAATCGTCTAGAAAGGAATTCAAGGCAGGAACAGAATGTCATTGCTCTCAATTGTCCCATGGAAGTATCTGTCTCGTTCATCACTGCCCATAAGGGAAACTGAAACTTGGGAGCTGAAATTCTCATGCAACCCCCGCCAAGTCAGCATTAAATTTAGTCAAAACAAATCATTCCACTTTGCTCATGGTATATTTCTTCTGCTGTTTGCAAGTCATTCACAAGCAGTCCACAAAATTCTCCAGCTATTTATTATCAAGACAACTATTTGCATGTTGATTGTTTCTCTGTAGCTTGGTGCTTTCCTGCTCTGGGTGTAGATTTAGTGGATATCTGGAAGACCCAGAAAATGGACACTGTGCATCTAGAACAACTCTACTTGCTTGGTATGCGTTGCCCAATGCGCAGTAAGACTGGCATGTCTTAAAGGGTGTCTCGTGGGTATCAGCTACGTGTTGCACTTGCAATAGGTCTGACGTGTCACACTCGCAGTGCTTGCTACACAGAGGCAGTTTCGTGCCTCCAGACAACCTGTCTGGTTACAACCAACTCATGAGTATGTCAGATCTAAAGCTTTCAGACCTGCTACTTGCAGCCATACTTTTTAGATAAAAGCTTTGTAGTTTACACCATCCTGAGTCAGAGCATCATACCCACAGCCACTTGATGAATAAGTCACTCAAGAAAAAAAGGGTATCAAGAAGGAGGTCAGTAGAGTACCAGTTTATAAAGGCCACTTCTTTACGTTGTTTAAACCCATCCTGGTTGTAATCTCAGAGGAATCAAATGTGAAAGGCCTAAAATAATGCTTCCTTGGCCTGAAATGAATACCACCTTAAAATCTGATGGCCACATGCACAAAGATCGGATTTACCTGTACTAACCAAAACCATGTAAGAAGTTTAGCATATTCTGAAATGGACTTTTATGAAAAGGATATTTCTATTGGCATAATATTACAAGGTATCTATTTGCAGTGTTTCTGTTCAGCGTTTCTGAATGTTTTCATACCTAAGACTTATTTTAGGTAAAAATCTAGTAGCTTGATTGCCTGAAGGATAAACATACTCTCTGTGTTTTGCAGAGGGAAAATCCCTTTCTTGTCTCATGTTGTTTGCTTCAACAGAATTTTATAGCAGGCTAGTAAGCCATATGGTGAGCAATGATGGTTTCCAGACACTGGCTAGTAGGAAGCAGAGCTGCTAATACTGTTGAAATAGGAGTCTGTTTTTTCTGGCTTTCCTCAAATAAAATTTACAATCTCATTTCTCCCCTTCTTAGGGGAAAAAAAAAAAAAAAGCCAAAAAGCCTGCTTTATATTTCAACTGTGTAACTTTCATTTCAGATTAAAATGAAAACAATAAAAAGCATAAATGGAGAAAATATAAAACCTGTGCCTAAGAGATAGCGAATATCATGTGATTTTGCCAACAGAGTTTCTTTTGAAGTAAAATTACAGAAGAATAAACTGTATTAACTACATCTTCAGAAAGGGGTGGGCAGATCTGAAAAAAATCTCTCACATTTTGGATATACAACACTGCAAAGAAGAATGTGACCCCTAAATTCCTTTGAGGAGCTATTTTCTTTTTTTGTAGACATTCCCAGAACGAAGATTATATTGTCTATCATGGTGGACTTGGTAAGCTTGGCATCCGAGGCCATTGTGGGTGAGGGAGTTGGTTAATTATGTTTGTTTCTTATAGTAACTAGCATAGAAGTAATGTTAATTTCTTTACTTTTATATTCATAAATTATACATGTTTCAAGCACAATAGCATTCTCAGTTATGGCAAATGAATATGATATGAATATGGTTTACATGATAATTGTCAGACAAGCTAGAGACATCACTTTATGCTTAAATCTGCAATTCTTCCAAAAGATATCTGAGGCTTTTAGTACTATTTATTTATGCCACAGAAGTCTAAGTGAAAGCTGCCACTTACACATACTTTCCTGGAAGCATGCATAGGTGATGATTTTATTTGAACCCAAGTGAAAATATAATAGTGGTGTAATCCAGCTGTTCATTTTGCACCCTTAACAAGGAAAAAATATATGACATCAGAGAAGCAAAGAATTTTTTTACTTAAGGACTCTGAACAAAAACAGTCAGTTCTGGTTGTTAAAATCTAAAACTAGAAAACTATGGTAAAAGTGATCATTGTTACTGTATGTCAATAATCTGCAACTAAGTAAAAATTGACTTTGTAATGAAAAGCAAATATTGATTGCTTGGTAAAGCCTGACATTTTAGGTGAAAGTCTTGGAAACACTTTTGAGTAATTTAAATAAAAATTCTCATCAGAATTGGTTGTTATTGTGAGTTTATTTTCTAATATTTGCACAAAACTGACCCTCCGATTGAATTGTTACATGGACCATTTACTAATAGGAGTGGAGTTCATATTTTAATAAGAGAGGAGTTTAAAAGTGGAGGCCATCAAATTAAAATGTACACTTGAAGTCTGCAAGCAGAGCAGGTGGCCTCAGATTCAGGGTAGGCATGAGAAGATGCACGCAAGACTGTCTATTTTGAAACAAACATCTCCAAAAGTATTTCTTCTGTGGTTTGTTTGTGGGGTTTTTTTAACTTCAAACTCAATAAAATTCAACAAATAGAAGGAATCTTCATTGCTTCAGAAGCAATAGTCATAGACGAAATGATAGAAAATCTCATTGTACAATTAAGGAAAAGGAACTTCCACTCCTAATTATTAGTGAAGCTGAAGTCTGATTGTACAGAGGCTTAGGAATTAAAATTCTAAATAATAAGAGGCTTTTAAAAATATTCCTAAACCAATTACTTGTTAGCTCAGAAAAGAAGGAAATGACAGCACATTCACGACAATGATTTGAACTAATTAATCCCCAAGTATGGGAGATGCTGCATTACTAGTGGTGCCATGTTCTAGAACAAAATTTAAAACAGAATCTTAGAGATGCCAAGGCACTTCATGTATAGATATTTAAAAAGAGAGTTAGTATGATTATCCTCACAAAATAATAACAAAAAAAAATTCTCTCCAGGTTCTTAGTTGTTTTCAGAAACTTGTGTTATCTTACGAATAGAAACACACCACTTGAATGCAACAGGCTCTGTCATGCACAAGGCTGTACAAAGAGAGCTGTACAAACAGAACAAAAAAATCTTTGTCCAAAGAGCTCACGCTTCAGGTAGAAGAAGTGACAGACAGCACATGGGTACCGTAAAGAAGTCAATATAAGCCATATGTTAAAGCAGAGTCTTAGTGACTGACCATTGCTCACTGCTACATTTGGTTACTAGATCAGAGAGTTCTGAGAAATGTCTTGAAGGGCATTAACAAGGTGGTTCTGTAGCCATTGATGAACAGCTCTTCCCAGGTAGGAGGGGAAATAGTGAAGAAGGCAAGCAAGTGTCTGTTAAGGTGACAGAAGAGGCAGTGGAGGCCAGACACTAGGAGAAGTTAATGCAGGAGCCAAACTTTCAGTGCTCAATAAGTGAAGTGGTTTGGAGAAGCTGGATTAACATGCAGCTTGTGGAAACGTGTAACTTCTGCTTGACATAGCCAGGAGGCAGGGCCAAAGGAGGGTGCTCAGAAGCAGAGTGAGAGGAAGACAAAAGTCGTTAAAGGGGTAGGAAAATGAATCAACACAAGACCAATACTGCATTTGTCAAGCCCACCATAAGGCTTCACCTTCACACTGGTGTCATCAAGTGACGCCATGGAAGAGACCTTTAGATATGTGTACATCTAGTATGCTACAGATAAACTCTGGGAAGTTTAGCATTCTAATGCTGTAATGTCCACCTTGGCAATTTGTTACATAAGTTCTCTGTAATGCTGCATAGAGTTACTGGAGAACAGTAACCAACCACTGCATTGCCCATCTATTCTTATTTTTCTGTCAGTAAGAACATTCAGCTCAATATGATTTACATAACTGTACCATTTGTAAAATTATAATCCTTTATAAAAAGTGCTGAAGGTCTTTTGGACTGGAAGTGTCACTGAAAGACCCAGCTCAGGTAGGTATATGCTTAACTTCAACCACATAAGTACCTCTGGTCAATAACAAAAATGCTGTCTGTACCCACAGGTACCTGAGGTGTTACTACTGGGCAGTTCGTACTTTAATCACCATCGGTGGCCTTCCAGAACCACAAACTCTGTTTGAGATAATTTTTCAACTGCTGAATTTTTTCTCGGGTGTCTTTGTCTTCTCCAGCCTAATTGGTCAGGTATATCAAAAAAACCCAATAACTAGATACGTACAAGTTACTGTAATGTAGTGATAAAATATTCTGTTTAATGGAGTTTAGTTCTGGGAAAAAGTTTAGCTTGCACCTGAATGTCCCTCTATTTAACTGTCATCCGTACTGATTCTTCTGACAAATATACGTGTTTAATCAGTTCTCAGTTTTGTAGCCCTTTTGCATACAAGCTGATTTAAAGCCAAGACTCTGCAGGACACGGATGATTCTTGAAACAATGTATAATTCCTTTTTTCTTCCTCATAGCCGAGGAGACAGTTCCTTGACATTCACATTATACTGTTAAATCTGATACAAAAATTATAATCGTAGGTATGATATTAACACGTACAAATTATTGAATAAGTCATACTTGATACTACTGCCAATGGAATACTGTGAATGGAAATGCCATTATTTTTATCAAAGTAGAATTCTGCTCTCTTCCATAAATTACAATATATTTGTAAACCTGAAAATTAACTGTTTTCTATTTCTCTTTGTTCTGATTTGGTGGGAGGGAAAAAAAATCCCATAGGACCACAAATCATTTATATTTCCAAATTAATATAACTGAAATATTTCTGTCTTGTAAGTATTAAACTTGGGCTTTTTAAAATATCTTGCTTATAGAAAAACAAATGCCATGGTCCCTATGTGTGTCTGTGTGCTATCGGAGTCCTGTAGAAATAATTCCAGACCTTTTGATTTATACATGTTTGTTATTGGAAGAATTATTATGAAAAAACAAAGATGAAAACTGAAATTTCATTTTTATTTCAAAAAAAAAAAGATGAAAACTGAAATTTCATTTTTATTTAGAATACAGGATTTGAAAAGTTCAATCAAACGGTGAAAAAGTGGATATGTCTAGAAGAGGAGATAACAGTCATTAAATACTCTTGCCTGTAGGATTTAAAATTCATCCATAAACAAGAATTACCAAAAATAAACAAAAAGTAGTTCATATAAAATATGTATTCTGGAAAACTATTGAATTCAAGTATATTGGATAAAACTTTAGAGTTTACATATTTATATTTTTTTCCTAAATTGACATAACTGTCAATGAAAGCACCATTCCCTAAAAAGATTCTGCAGATGTTTTTGTAACGAGTATAGTCATTTGCAGACTCAAACCTCAAATCTTAACACACAAACAACTTCACTGCAGTTTGTTTTAATTCCTGTTTACAAAGAGCTCTTAATATTACCTATTTATTCCTGGTTTTGCACACTTGCCTAAAAATTGTTATTCCTGCGGCATTCAGTTGCATCTCTGTAATACAAAGCAGAATTCAGCCCACTGGCACACTAATCCTTGGCCATGCAATATGAAGTCATTCTATTAAAAACATGTCTACATAGTTATGCTTTTCAAGAAGGGATATCTATGAACATTAACTCATCCACTTTCTAAAAACTAAATTACATTTGTGTTGGTATGTTAAATGATGTTCCTGTACTAAAACCTTCAAGGTCACCTTTCAGCTCGAAGTGTATTTTAAGGACTGATCTGGATGCTTTTAGCTATTTTAACAGTGGTAGAATCTTAATTCTAGGGGGGACAGCTGATGTCACTAGAGAAATTTAGCTCCGTTTGCTTCACTTCTGACTTGCACTGCACACCAAATGAAGAGTAGCTTCATTATGGATTTTTAACAAAAGCCTTATCTATTTTTTTTCATCCATGTCCAGGAATGAGACAGAAGAATAAGCTAAAACTCACAAATGATTCCTTTAAAATCATAAATGTAGACTCTTCAACACAATTAGATTAAAGCTGTAATGCTTCTGAAAGCAGATGAAGCACCTATTCAAAACATGCAGCTGAGTGTATAATTAATAAGTGATTTTGCAAACAAGTGGTTTATTCTTTTTATATATTGTTGACAAGATATTCAAATCAAGACTATTTTTTCTGAAATGTGTAGTAACAATAACTGATGTTTGCAGATGAGAGACGTAATTGGAGCAGCTACAGCAGGACAGAACTACTATCGTTCCTGCATGGACAACACTGTCTCTTACATGAACACTTATTCTATTCCAAAAATGGTCCAAAATCGTGTTCGAACCTGGTATGAATACACATGGGACTCTCAAGGAATGTTGGGTAAGGCTTTCCAATTCCAGTTACGTAGCAACTCCAAGTCAGAATGGCTGTATGGATACAGATATAGGGTGAAATTCACATTTCTCCTTTTCTGAATGGCATGCAAGAAGTGAGAAGAGGGTATTCAATTTACTTTAGAAAGGAAAAAAACTTCAAAAGAATATGATGCTTACTCCTTCACAAATTCTAGTAATTTATATAATATACTAGTTATAAATTTAGACAAGGTATGTAACTTAAACAACGGTATCTTAGTAAAATCATATTAGCAGCTTCCTCATTTGAGCTCATAAATGCTAGAATAACTCCATTAGTTATTTCTCTGTACAATGCTCATTTTTATGGACATTCTTTCCTTCTTCCTTTATATTTTCTAACTAATAGAGTTTGCTTTTTTTTTTTTCTTTCTGTTACAGATGAATCGGAATTACTGGAGCAGATGCCAACCAAAATGCAATTAGCCATTGCAATTGATGTGAACTTTGCCATTGTCAATAAAGTTGACTTATTCAAAGCAAGTAGTTTTACAGGAGAATGCAGAAATGTGTGGTATTCCTGAGACAGAAAACTTGTGCATCTTACAACACTTAAGAACATGTTTGTTAATATGCAAGGCAAAAGAGGTCTAAGAAATATTTCAGTCAATGGAGAAGTGTCAGGGCAAAGCCAAGTGCCTGTCATTGATTTTTTTTGTGTCAAAGCAGAGACTTAAAAAAAAAAAACAAATGAGATTAAGACACAGTCCTGTTTTATCGACATATTAAATCTGGTGTTATGGTCAGACTGTAAGTGATGCCAGAGTATAACTAATCTCAAGAGTCAGACGTATAAGAATGTCATTTTTAATACAGTCCACCTTGCTGTCTACCACCTAGCACTGCCTGAGAGATCACGAATGCTGTGTGTTCCGGCAACCTAACTTTAATCTAGTGAATGCTACCTTTTAGTAACTTCTTGCACAAAGGAGTTTTCTCTTTGTTATCATGACACTTTTCCAGAGATATAATTTAAATGTGGTACTCAAGATTGGATTTTTATAACAAAACCAAGGAGACACTGCATTTTTAGAAGTAGTCTCAACATACAGTAGCCTTAGCATTAATTTGTTTGTAAGGATAGTTGCAGGATAGCTGCAAAAAATCATATCTCTGTATAAACATTACACATCTGCACAGTTTGTGCCATATTTGTTGATGACATGGAATTCATAGATTCATACCAACATTTGACATGATCTGTTTTTTTTTCCTCTGGATCAGTAAAAAAAAGAAAAAAATCACATAAGAGACTCATAAAGCTGTGAACATAGCACTAACTGAGCTTCCACAGCAAATTTAGATGTACAGAAGCTTACTTACTTTATAAAAAATGAAGAAATGGTTGACCCAAAGGGAACTTTATAATTACCTGAAATGACAATTCTTTTGGTCTTTTCTCTGCTCTAAAAGCTGATGATGTTTTGAGTTTGCATTCCACTTATGAATCCCTGGACCATTTATGTGTTGCTGGATTTTGCTGCCCAGTGTAAGCACTAATTATCACTTGTGTTACTGAATTAATAGAGCAATCAATTCTAACTATTTTAACAGGGGTGCGATACCCAGATGATATATGACATGCTGCTAAGGTTGAAATCCATTGTGTATTTACCTGGTGACTTTGTCTGCAAAAAGGTGAGCATTGTTCTCTATTTCAAATAATAATTATAGGGTGGTTTTTTTTAAAAAGAGTTCAGATATCGGTCATCAGTGTCCTTTAAATACAATTAATCCTGAGTGAATTAGATAGTATAAAAGTAATTAAGGTGCTCTGTGTAATAATAACAAATCTGTTCTCAAGTTTCAACCTAGAACAAGACAATATGGATTTTATTACTTGTATTATCAAACATAAAACTATATTAACATGGGAAAGTACTTTAATGTAAATATGGCTTATCTAATGATATATCATGAAGTTTTAATATTTAAAATGGTGCAAGCTTAATTTTTTATACATATATACATACAAACCTAGCCTACAGATTTCACTTTATGATGCTTTGCATGTGCTTCATTTGTGTATTCAGAAACTCTTAAGTGGAATTAGCCAAGAATGAAGAAAATACTCTGGATCCCATACCGCTCCTCACAGCAGGATCACTCACAGCTCTGAGCCATCCCCAGACTTCAGCTGAATGCTGTCACACTGTCCCTTAGCAAAGAAGCCTATCTTTCTTTTAACATTTTGGCTCAAACAGTATAGTTTACATACTGTTATAGTAACACAGGTAGATAGCTCAGCTTCTGAGCAAGTGAGCCTAAGTCTCTTTTCAGAAGGCATGTAAACATACCTACAGACAGTGTCAGATGTAGTCACAGCATGGGGAGGGTGAAGTATCAGTACTGTTACTGTTCTGGCAAGTGACCCACAGTCCATATCACACCTAGAAGTTACCATCAGAACCCCTTAACCTGTCTTTAGCAGTTCTGGTCCAGCATGTTCACTAAGGTCCTGCTCCCTCCAAGAATTAAGCTGAAAGCTGAGTTAGTCCCACTGACTCCACTGTGTAGGAAGCTAAACATTTGTGAGTTCACTGAGGGATCAGGTGTGTCCCTTCAAAGACCAATCCCAGAATTGCCGTTGGCCAGGAAGGGTGGAAGAGTCGTTTGGTGTGTTTGCTGGTACAATGCCCAGCATAAAAGGATCTTAGGCTGTGGCAGGGACTCTGCCACAACAGAGACAATAAATAACAGTAACAGATTCAAAGTCTTGATACTACAGTTGGATCTAAATCGTTCTCAACAAGGACGGGTTATGAGAAAGGGAAGTATCAATTATTTCAGCTTGATTCAGACCTAGAAGGCCTCTCACTTGTATAGCTCTACTCTGTGGCCAACAACCACAGTAATCCTATTAATGCTGTAACATATAGTACGGAATAAGACTCTGTTGGAACTACCTCCACCAGACGTCTGTTGGCCTCATCGTATATTACCAAGGGGGCTCCGACATGTGGACTTGGAGGCGCAAGTGAAGGGGTAGGAAGTGCAAGCCCTACGTTGGCAGCGCTGGCTTTGTTGCTGTCGCTTTTCACTTTTAAAACGAAACTGCTGCTTTGCCTCAATTACTCCAGCTGCACAAGCGAAAAAATAAATATTTGCCTGTTTTACTGAGATGTTGTGAAGACTGTTATGGTCATGTTTGTGAAGTTCATTACATTACTCATAAAAAGCAGTTTTCCTGCTTTTTGTTGTATATACTGATGTCATGCTTTGAATCATAGTAGATAATGTGGAACGGATAATAAATAAACTAATAAGTTCTTAAACCATCCAGTGATTTACACAAAAGTAGACAAAGTTTTGAATGATTGTTTATTATTATTTTCCTTTTATATTAGGTAAGTGATGATTGGAAATAGTAGTGTAAAAACTGAAGCTTGTTAGACTATGAAGCATAGGCTTTTTTGTACTTCTTTACAATTAAATATGCTGTTGAAGTACTTTAGTTTCCACCAGAACAGTTGATGGAAATGACTGCTACAGTCCCGATGATTATCTAGTCTTCTTTTTCCAAGCTGGCCTAGATAGCCTTACTCTCACATCATAATTATATCCGTGAGGGTCAGTCCTTGCACTTGTGCTCAGTGCTAAGAAAAGTAGAAAAAACATTTATTTCTCCATAATACCAGTGAACTGGTATATAAGAAAGGGGAAAGATATTTAAAGAAGAGTTTGTTTTGTTATTCTAACAAAAAAAAAAACACACTGCACTGCTAAAACATGAGACTTTTATGTGTTTGTATACCCAGGGAGAGATTGGCAGAGAGATGTACATCATCAAACAGGGGGAAGTTCAAGTCCTTGGAGGCCCTGACGGTACAAAAGTTCTGGTTACACTCAGAGCAGGAGCTGTATTTGGAGAGATCAGGTAGGTCCATTGCAATTTTTAACACTTTTTCTAGAACTGATCCAAAAAATCAATGGTTGCTTAACTTCTCTGTGGTTAAGCATGACAGCTACCATGGGAGGCTAGAAAGTTGGTAGGATCAACCAAGAGGACACTGAGCAAGGAGATGCAGGTCAGTGAAGGAAAATCTAAGTGAAGCATCAGAGACTAATCCAGCAAGATCTGAGACCAGTGTTTTGGGCAATGTATGCAGAGATATACAGACGGATTTCTCCTTCAGCATTTAAAAGATTTAACGCATCTTCCTGTTCCGAGACCTGCAATACAGCAGGAGCAAATGCATTTTATTGCCTGCAGAGTGAGACTAGGTGCCCTTACGCAGAAGATGGTAAAAATGAAAATTAATTTCCAACAAAGGAGATTAAAAATCCAAAATAGCAAACAAGATTGGTTCACTTAGGAGCTGAAGTAGGGATTAAGTTGCCAAAAATCAGGCATCTACATTTGAAAATATATTTGTTTAAGAGCATATGAAACAAGAAAAAGGTTGACAGACCATATTTTTGGGTGTGAGTTTATCTGGATGAGAAAATTTTTCTCAGATGGTTACGAATGTTTTTTATATTCTCCAAGTGGTTGCTATGCAAAATCCATTAACTCTTACATGCCATATTCACCAATTAGCCAAACGAGTGCTAGATTTTAGGCACTGCATCCCCTGCTGAGGTTGGCCTGAGGAAAAGTAATAAAATGCATGTGCTGCTGCATGTGATAAACTGGATCCCTGATTTCTTCCAGTTGCCTTCCTGTTATCGTTAATCCTCTTGCTGGTAGCTTTAATCTGCCTTTTGAAAAGTGGTAATCAGCTCTGTGCCAGGTTTACATTTATCTTCTCCTTGTGTCTCCCTTTGTGGTAGGGGAAATATTCCCGTTTATCCAGTGATGAGTGTACAGAACTTGCTTAGACCTCAAGTGGAAAACATCTGATATATCCCACAGATACAGACTTCTTTTCATTGAGTGGGAAAGTGAAATGATATCAGCTCTTTGAGAGAAGGTTATTTGAAAGGTATTTCTCTGTGCGACAACGTAATACCTGAGCAAAGCCTCAAAACAACCTACTGTATTGTAAGTTATGTGAAAAGGCTGAGAATGTACTGCTTTTCAGTAACGGCTGGATACTGACAAGATAAAAGAAAAAGGTACAGCAGCCCAGATATGTAGAACGCACACAGCTTTCAATTATTTACTAGTCTTGCATTTGGAGCAAGGACTTTATTTTTTAAACTGAGAAATGATAACAACTGTTTTTAAAACAAGGAAGGGATTTTCAAATTTTTGATCTAATATAGGTGAGCACTTGCTTCCACATAAAAGCTAAACAACGTCCTTTACGATTTGTTTCCAAATATGTGTTACTCTTCGCATAACTGCCAATACGGCCAGTAAAATCCTCCGCAATGCTATAACCCTACACTTCCAGTCTTGTTTTATTCATCACTGACCTACTGCGGCAGCAAACACATTCAGACACACATAATTTGCATATAAATGTCAAGCAGTGGATAAACTTGAGGAGAAAACACACAGCAACTGGCAGACATCTCTAAAATTGAAGAAAAGACATGAATTACTAAGTGTATCGGCAGAGGTTTATCCTCTTCCTTGTGGCAAAGTGTTAGAAAATAATGAGTTTGGATAGTGCCTCTCTATGTAAGTTTTGTCAAGGTCTTCTGAATACTGTATAGCAGAAGCAAATGAAAAAAAAATCTTTAATGGATTCATTTAGCACATCCAAGTTTTCCCCTCAGTATTCATAGCATGGTTAACACCTGATATCAGGCTGATTTCCTTCTGATTTCTGACTCAAGATTTGTTTAGAGAAATATGTCAGCTTCATTCCAAGTGGTTTAACTACATGATTTATAACACAACTGCTATTTAATCTCACTCTGTTCAAAAAGCATGTAAATGATGCTTAAAAAGTCTCTGAGGGCAAAGGAGTTGAAGAAAACAAAAATGTTTATTTCAAAAAATTTCCCTGAATTATACTAGAAGGCCAATGCAAGGCTAATGTTCAAACACGTCCTTTGCCAATTTCATCCTTGAAAATTATTACAGAAACAGATTAAGTAATAGGAGTTGCCTTCCAATTAACATCTTACCCTCATTACTACTTTCCTGTACAGATAATATCAGTTTGGGGAAGCAAAACACTCTCGGAATCCGAGGCAAACAGATTGCTGCCTTAATGAGAGCCTGTCTGCACAGACCATTGAGAAAGAGAGAATTTCAACTATAACACAACACTTCATTAGCCCAGAGAAATTTACACTTTAAGCCAGATGTCCTCATTCATCCATTTACTGCTATTTCACTAGAACGATTTCCTATCAGAAAATGGTAATTCTGGAAAAATGAAAACATTTCTCCATTATATGTAAATTTCTGACAGGAAGATCTCTAAATGTTCGATCTCCGCTTTAGCCTTTCAGCTGTTTTGTAACTTTAACTTTTATTAAAAAAAATAAAAACTAAAGGGAGCATTTAGCTTTGTGAAAGATTACATTTTCCACTTTGGCCAGGATTTCCCACAAAGTGGCAGCTGCTGCTTTTCAATGAGCTCTGCCCTTTGGTGTTTGACATCCTGCTCAGAAGCAAGATCCAGACCTATTTCCCTTTCCTGACTTACCAGTTCTCTCCATATGCACACAGGTGCTGAGCTGAGCTGCCATAACCCTGCTCTTTCAGCTGATATGCACTCCATTCCCTGGATTAATTTGCTAATTTCAATGAACAGTAGCTTCCTACAGAGATCAGCTATTAAAAAAAAAGAATAATAGATAAGCTGAGTCATCACTTCGACAACCTTATACCTCTAAATTAAATTTGCTAGCATAAGAATTAAAAAGTTATCATGTCATACTGATATTACAGCATTGCAGGCTAGCAACTGGAGTAAAAAATGTAAGACAAAAAAAGCAAATTTCTCTAATAATATAGATATCACAATACCAAGAACCACTGCAAGGCAAACGTAGTTTTTTTAAAAAAATTCCATCTATCACGTAACTCTTAGCACACTAGCCAAAACAGATTCAATCATGAAGTCCATAATGCTGTCCTTAGTCATTCTGCTTGAGCAAGGACTTCTGTAATTGTAAAATTCACCTCACATCATCACCATAATGAAAATGCTCATCTCTTTAGTCCCAGTCTGCCTCAATAAAATGAGCTTTCTGTTAGGAAAGCCTGAAAATGATTGTTCAATGACTTGTTGAGAAGTGATTCATCAGAACTCAAAAGCTGTTTGCAATTTTCTTTAGCTGCTTTTCTTATTGTGCAAATAATTTTATTCTATGTGAGGAATTGTACAGAATTTTTTTAGAAGAAGAAAATACACTGCATTTTCAGCTTGAGTTCATGTATTGATTGCTATCTTCAGTTGCAGAAAAACTGTGTGTGTGGGGTGTATAAAAATAGCCTTGTACACACAGTTGCAGAGGTCTCACACTATCCTTTATAATTCAAATATATTATCTCTATGATGTAATATTTATAATTGTTTTATATTTAATATTAAAACCAATATCCTTGATTAATATTTTAGATAAGTATTGATTCACGTTTTATGGGGTCCAGACTATCCTTTAATAATAACTTTCAAATTCAGAGATTACTAAATATTATTTTAAAATATTAACTCACTGCAAAACATTTAAGGGACAAATTTTCAGGGTAGATCTTCTTGAATACAGTGATAAAGCAATTCTAGTATAAGAGCAAAATGCAACTTCTCTTGCTTATCACCACAGCTGAGAAGGGAAATATCTTCACTTCATTTGCTTAATGCAAGACGGACAATTTAATTTTCATTTGTATAGCACCTAATTTTTATGTGGATATCCTTCCTATGGCCAACTGCTTTTTGCTAAACTGGTCTAACACCTCACTTTCAAAACAAAATAGCCTTCTTTTTCTGGCAGACACATTTGTAACCGTCAGCTTGAGAGACCTTCCTAATCCATACCATTCAACTTGCCAACATTCAAATGTGAGATGCGGTATGTGAGAAAACTGAAAACCAGAATCGCACAGAAGTTATTCACTCAGGAAAATTAAAATTCTCGGAGAATCATTCGTTCATTGTAAATAACTGACAACAATGACCGACTTGAGCTGCTCTACCTCTGATGAAAATCATTTTCAACAATAAAATTGAGGAAATGCCAAGTTCACATGAGGACAAAAAGAAATGCAGTTCTTGCAGTGGGTGTCTTTTGGGAGAAACATCTTTATCTAGCAAGGCCTTTCACAGTCCTTAGCATCTACATACTCCTAACCAGCAGTGACAATTTGCCTTCCTGAGGCAAGGCAGTATTTCTAATCCCAACTGCAAAGGGCCTTTATAGAACATCAGATAGAACAGCTGGGTACGTAAGTGAGCTTTACAATGACTTTAATGGAGAACAGCAAAGAGAGTCCTCACCAGGGCAAGAAATGACGTGACTGACGATGCTTATTTTCATTCCAGCCTATTAGCTGCAGGTGGAGGAAATCGAAGGACTGCCAATGTGGTGGCTCATGGTTTTGCCAATCTTTTCATTCTGGACAAGAAAACACTCAATGAAATCTTGGTGCACTATCCTGACTCAGAAAAACTTCTCATGAAGAAAGCAAAGTATGTCCTAATAACAGCTTTTAAAATACATTATTTAGCTGCCAAATGGACAATTGTGGCTTCTAGACAGATTTGCGTTCATTTCTTGGAAGAGTAACAGATGTAAACACATTTGTATTTAGAGGTCAGATTTGCCTTATAGTATTTAGCGGAAGCCATAGTCTTGGCAGGGATTCCAACGCTTGTGGAAACGTGGTAAGTAGAACAAAGTCCTGAATGTAGTTGCCTTCTCCAGTGCATTTAAAGTAACAAAACAAGTAAGAAACAGAGATGCATATCAGGACTCCTTACATAGTCAAGAAAGAGCCTGCAGGACACATGTAAGTTAAGGAATAGGTTTGCAAAGATGCAACTGAACACCTGCAATTAATTCTACAGAGATACATTTCCATACACTCAAAGACTTGTATGCATTTCGAAAATCTTAAAACAGTAGTTAGGAATGGATTTAAAGGCTGGAGCACCTCTTCCAACCCTAACCATTCTATGGTTCTATGATTAAAGTAAGGCCCAACAAGATGGAAGCACACAGTCTTGCGAGGTGAGCATTTTATTCAAAAGGATTGTGAAATGGGATTTCAAACCCAAACTGCTTTTCATCGTGCTTTGGCTTTGCTTGCCAGAATCACCATTTCCCCAGCTTTCAAAGAGTAAAGTATTGTCAGATTTTGCCACAGAATCATGACAGAATGAGTACCTTGCTACTTTGTAAAAGGTCCAAATACATGAAACAGTTTGTCATTATTGGTATACTTCAGCACTCTTGTTCTCAGCTGTTGCCTTTCATCACTATCAAAGGTTGGAAAGTTTCTCCCAGACGAGAAATTCCACCAGAGAAGACTAAACATAGCACAGGAGTGACATTTTGTTCAGTGGAAGTGCTAGCAGATGGTTATATTCAGCATGTTTCAGCAGCCTGGTTATCAGACGACAGACATCGTCTTGAGAATCAGAATGTCCCTGAGGAACAAGGGACCTAGATCCAGAATGGGCTGGTTGCCCAATTTTCAAAAGCGGCATCAACAGGTAGAAAGGTGGAACAAACCCACTGACTGATGGTCCCCATCATTTATCCTTCCTGACTTTCCTCCAGCTTCTTTCTTAACAGTTATACAACCATCATTACTTGTTACTCCTGTCTCTCTGTCCCACGCTACCTTCTTCTGCTTTCTTGCCCACCCTAATCATATCCTGCCAAGCCATTAAATTCTGCTTCCTCCAGATAGCTTCCAGATAGATGGATAATAGTCATCCATCCTTCATATCCGCATTCCCATTTGGGCCCAAAGCCCTCTCTAGATATCAGCCTCGATACAGGATACCCTGTTTAATTTTGAAGATATGCAGTACCTGCTCTGTGCTGGAGGACATGTATTCTGCTCACCTGTCCAGGCATCCACTAATTCCTCCAAAACTCCTGTGTTCTATGTATAGTCAGCCACGTCTCTACAAAAACTAGGCACCAACAGGAGATTTGTGAAATATTTTAATAAAGATTGCAGTTGTGTTCAGTTTTGGAATTAAGTTGTCAGTTGCTCTGCCCTGGAAGGCTCTGCTCCTTTACAGTTGTCAGTTGCTCTGCTCCTTTAAAGAGCACCTTGAAATAAATTCAAAGGAGTTTTTCAAGCAAGAAATTTGTTCTATCGTCACCTGCCTGATAGTCACTGTGTGGTACTTACATAATAAACCCATGCAAGCTGCTGAAGTGTACTTTTTAAATTCATGACAACAAAACTTAAAAAAAGTAAAATCTTCACTTCTGAAGTCCCCAAAGTTACAAAGTAGAATACTCTGGAGAAAATTATAGTATTATGGGATTTATTGTACTTCAGAATGCAAGTAAAAGTTCATAAAAAGCCTTAAGTCAGGGATTTTGCAAGGATAGAAAAGTTGCCTTGAAAACTGTACAGTAACCTAGTGGAAATTGAAAGCATGGGAACCTTCTGCTTTTCACTGGATCCATTATCTATATTGGAGATATATATATACACGGATTGCTGTAATATATCTCTCTCATCTATATACATTGGATGAGGCTTTGAGAAACCTGATCTAGTGGAAGGTGTCCCTGCCCATGGCGGGGGGTTAGAACTAGATGATCTTTAAGGTCCCTTCCAACCCAAACCATTTATGATTCTATGATTCTAAAATCTTGGAACTGACATCTAATCTTTATCCTCATTGTTCATTCTCACTTCTCCTCGTTATCATTGCAAATCAGTACAGCTACGGAAGGGTGTGAAAATCTAGTCTGCCACATGATTGGCAGTAATTTTTATATCTTCAGGGTATCTTCTACTGAAGAAGACCAAAAATAAGTACCGCTGTCTAACCTGATCTGTGAGAGATGAGCCAGGCTGTAAGTTAGTTTCGTAAACTAGTATTTCCGCAAGCATCAGCTGGACTCCAAACTGAACACTAAACGCCCTCTGAATTTGTATCCAGAAGGACAGGTAAGAGACTGCCACCTCAGCCACAAGGCATCCATCCCCTTCCACACTACTTCTCACCTTATAAAACTCTGATCTCCTTTGCAACAACTTAATTTGAGCCTGCCCTTCTCTATTCTTCAGAATATAGGTAAGCAACTCCAAATTTGAACAGTAGTCTCCAACTCTACCAGAGCCTACGGTAAACCCCTTGCCCTTTCCAGTTTTGCTCTTGTCACTGGACCTGGGACCGAAAATAAAATTGGCTGGAAAAGTTGCCAGGTTTTCATCCCTGAATGTGACATTTTAGCTTTGCAGGAACTTTGCTTGGTTTCACAGCACTGCTGTGTGTTCTCATTCCTTCCCGTCTCCAGGGTGCTGCTGAAGGAGAAGGGGAAACCTCCTCCAGGACCACCAGTGCAACAACCACGGGGTTTGGCCAGTCTGTTTGGGCAGAAACAGGAAACTCCAAAATTGTTTAAAGCAATGCTTGGAGGTAAAGGAAGAGAAGGCCTTGCTAAGCTGCTGCAGCTGAAAAGAGAACAAAGCATTCAGGTAATGCCACAGAAAATAGTAGAAAATTCCAGGTGCTGAAGAGGGAAACAGGAAAGATACTGGGAGGGCCTGGGCAAATAGAGTGTAGATGAAAATGTACCCTTACTGCAATTAATGGCAGAAAGTCCCAGTAGCTGAGATATAATCACTGTACCTAATCTCTGTAAACACTAACTCTAAAATTTGGCTCACATCTTCCTGGACTTGGCCTCTATGCAGAGCAGAGAAAATAAGAGCAAAGAAAAAGCAAGGAAAAAAGCAAGCAAACAAAAATCCTCAAAGAAAAGTAAGGATAAAATAGACTTTAAAAAGCCCCTAAGGGCATCTGATCTTCTAATTTTATGTAAACAACAGCAAATACAGAAATATCCTAACACAGTAATCTGACCCAGCTGACTCAAGCACACGGTGAACTTTCCAATTCAAAGTCAGATTGTTGGTTGCCACAAATCTTGAAGATAAAATTTAAAGTTTAGCCCACACAGCTAAAATCGATTAAATCTGTAATATATTGCACTTATGAGAAAACTGTTATTTTAGCAGATGAAAAATAATTCCCACATTATACTCTGTTCAGAGAAATGTTAATGTCAGTAAGAACCTGCTCAGTTCTACGTATTTACCCAAAGGTGGCAGAATCCTTTTCTGTCTTTATAGCTGAACTGGCAGTGGTTTTATTTATTTTTTTTAAGTTAAATAAAGAACTTTGCTTACACAAATGAGTGTAACACTAAGATTGGAGCAGAAACACTGCTCAATTGAATGTGTACTTGTGAACTCAATAGCAAATAAACTGAGCCAAGGAATTGGGGC